ACACACACACACACACACACACACACACACACACACACACACACACAGCTGGTCTTCTAGGCTCAGGCTGACTCGACTCTACTGCTGCTATTGTTCTTGGTGTTTATCCCATGGTACTGGCATCTCCAAAGTGCCAAATTCCTCCTGTAATTGGGCTACACTTTCACCAACAGCCTCTCCTGGGCTCTCTTCACAGTGCCAAACCTGACCTTCTCTGCATGACCCATTCGATCCTGGGCCTTCAACTGCCACTGAGGCTGCACCTTTATCAGTGACCTTTTTTGGCCTCTCACAGGGCCAAGCCTCAGCTGCTCTCCATGACCCTTCATGCCTTCAAAACCAGTGCCATCTGGGTGACTCTTACCCTACCACACTCTTAGCAGATGAATGCCAGGTTGAGAGAAAACCTTGGCCATCTCTTAGAGCACGGCTTCTGTGTGCTAACCCTGAGGAAACACTTCCCAGAAAGACCTCACCTCAGTGATGCTGGTCTCTTCTCAATCACGTCTAATTTTATAGCTCCTGCTGACCAGCATTGGTTGTCCCAGCAAAGCGAAGGTTTTCCTTTAGTGGTTCTGGTCTCTCATTAGTCACCAATGATTCTTCAGCCCCAGCTGGCCAGAACCATAGATTCTCAACTCAAAACATGCAACAGCCCCCAGAGAGTCTTTAATTGACTCCCAAAACCTCCCTCTAGAATGTTACAAGCCAGGTTCCCTCATCTGCTCTTCTCCCGACATTCTTATCTTCCAAGCTACTGTAGAACAGCTCACCAAGCTTTGAACACTCAATGGCTTTCCTAGCCCAAGATCCAAAGTTCTTCCATGATCCTCCCACAAACATTGGTAAACTCCGCCTCAGCAGTACCCCACTATCATGTCTTCGTTAGAATTATTAATGCTGTTTTGATAGCTGGAGAAACTCCACTTTTATGCTAGGCAGCCATCGTAGTACCCACAAGACATTTATCTCTGTCTCTAGTCCCTGGAAGATAAGTTTCCAGTAACCCTGACTCAGTGAACCCCACCCAGAAATGTACAGCCTACTAACTGTTTTTTGCCTTCTGAAGTCTAATTATGCAGACAGTCGAGGACTATTTTGAGGTCGCCTTGACTACCTACCTAATCTTGACAGAGCAGAGCAGCTCCTGACTTGGTTATGCAGATGTTCTAGGTCTTCTTCTGGTTTTTGCATTGAAATATGCTTCCCCCGCCCGGCTTTGAACAGCAGCCTCAAATTTGGCACAAGGATTGTTGTCCTGTTAGCAGTGATAAATAATTCTTTTAGTTATAACTGGGTTGAGTCTATAGTCTTTTCCCAGAGGTTAGGAACTCCATAACACTGTGATGAAACACCACGACCAGAGCAACTTGGGCTTGGAAAGGGTATATTTGCCTTGCAATCCCGTATCATTTTTCATCAGAAGGGAAGTCAAGAGAGGAACTCAAACAGGGAAAGACCTAGAGGCAGGAACTGATGCAGAGGCCTTGGGGAGATGCTGCTCACTGGCTTGCTTCTTATAGCTTCTTCAGTCTGTTTTTCTATCAGGACCACCAGCCAGGGGATAACACTACCCACAATGCACTGGACCATCCCGTATCAATCACTAAGAAACTGTCCTACAGGCTTACCTATTGAAATATTCTGTCTCTTTAAGAGACAAGCCACACCCACTCCCTTCCTGCTTTGCAGTCTCTGCCCCTCTCTCTCTCTTCCTGTCCCCTCTCTCGGAGAGGCAGTCCCCCCTCCCCCCTCCCCACCCCCACCTTTCCCCTTCTTCTTGTCTTCCATAACCCAAATAAATGTCCAATTTTATTCTGTATGGTGTATCTATCTCTGTGTCTGCTACTTGTCGCTCCGGGGGACCAGCCACCTTCCCTGCCGTGTGGTCTCTGGGACTGGCTGCTTTCGGGTCCCCAGCAGTCCCGGAGACTCACAGCATCCGTGCCTCCCATCCGCTGCCTGCCCACACCGCTCGCAGGGGACCAGCCAGCTGCCACAGGGCTGAAGGACCAGCCACCTTGGTTTGTGGACCTGCCACATGGTCTTGACCCCACAGCAAATCCTTTTCACCTACAACCCCATCGTATGGAGACATTTTCTCAACTGAGGCTTCCTCCTCTCTGATGACTAATGTGTGTCAAGTTGACATAAAACTAGCTAGCACACGGCCTCTACGTGTGTCCTTAAGTAACCCCTTAGTGTGGCTTATGTAAATCTCAACCCTGGGGCCTGGAGATACTTTATGCATGGCCAGATGTACCCAATACTTAAAATAGATGACTTAGAATGATTTTTACAAATAACAACAAAACCAGGGACCTAATGACTCCTGCATTAGGCATCCAATTATCCACAGGATTTGTGCCATCTGTCCAGGAAAGCCACTTTGGACTTTCCTGTGCATGATATTCTGCCATACAATAGCTCTCTCCTCCTCCTTCTGTGTGCACCGAGTTTTATACCCTAAGGCAAAACTTCTTTCTCCCGCCTCTCTTCCTCTTGGCTTTACTTCTCTTTCTCCGTTCTCTTTCTGTCCCAGCTGCCCGTGGTTCTTCACTCTTGCTTCTCAGCGTAGTAGAACGCGTCTCTCCTCAACCTCCCCCTTTCTCAGTTTTAGGGTTTGTGTCTTCCAGCCCTGGGGCACAGCTGTCCTGTGACTGTCCCCCTTGCTGACAGAAGTAACACAGAGGCCACCAGGGAAGATAAAGCACTAAAGGCAGATGCCAATTTCCAGGAGACCGTGTGTCCTTACTCCACTGGACCCTAAGGGTCACCTTTCAGTTTCTCAGAGTAGCTCTGAGGGATTATATTCTCAGCCCCACAGGAGCTCTCTGCCATCCGTTAGGAGTTTTCCTCTCTGTTTTGTCTCTCTCCTCACTTTCTCATCTCTGCACCCTGGATGAACAACCAAATAAACTCTCTCTACCCAAATATTTTTCTCAGGACTTCAATGTCTGTTCATGGGATGCCAACATCGTGGCATCCGCAGTCTTTAGTCTGTACCACTGTCAGCATGTATTGAAGTGAGCTAGCATTGCTGTATGTTTAATACCTAGTGCCCAGCTGGAAGAACTTGATTAAAGTAAATATAGTATAAAATATGTAAATGTATATAAAACAGGATCACATGGGCAGTGAGGGAGGAAGGGCAAGCGAGGAGGGGAGGGGAGGGGAAAGAAGGGTAGGGGAGAGACGAGGAGAGGAGAGAAGAGAGGAGGGGAGGGGATGGGATGGGAGAAGAGAGGAGAGGAGAGGCACTTGGCCAACATCACTTCGCTTACTGCAGTCTATTCCCACAGCTGGGCCTTCCGCTCTAGGGGTTAAAGCATTTGCATAGTATCATACAAGTGCACAATCTTATTAGAAAATGATATGCAAAGTAAGACATGGAGTGAACCTTTGCTTGTAGGTTCACTCTAAGGTGAGGCTAAGCTACACCGTGTTACATTTTTGCATGTTTATGTCTATGGGGGTTTTACCGGCTGGTGTATCTGTGCACAACATGCAGACCTGTTGCCCTCTAAGACCGGAAGAGGACATCGTCACAGATGGTTGTGAACTGCCATGTGGGTGCTAGGACTAGAACCCTAGTCCTCTGGAAGAGCAGCCAGTGCTCTTAGCCTCTGAGACACCTCTGCAGGCTCTGTTCCATTGCTTCGTAAATCACATCACCTTGTTAACTGTAGTGTTAAGGTTTTTCTTGCTGCTGTGATAAAATGCTCTGTCCAAAGCGGTTTAAAGGAGAAAGGGCCTCTTTTGGCTGGCAGTTCAAGGTCCAGTCCCTTATGGCAGGGACAACAAAGCAGCAGGAGCTTGGTCGGAGCTTGAAGTCACACTGAAGCCACAATGAAGACATAGAGATAAACACATATCACTACCCAATTCCTTTCTCCATTGCAGTCCCAATTCCAGCCAGCCTTGCTGACAATGAAGATGGGTCTCCCTACACTAATTAACATAATCCAGATACTCTCCAGATGCATGCCCAGATGCTCATCTCCCAGGTAACTCTGGATTCCGTCAGGTTGACAAACACTGCAGTGTACCACCATCATCACCACTGGGGTGCACAGCTCACGTTCAGACCGGACAAATGGCTACCATGCCAACAGAGCAGTGGTCCTTCAGAGGACACCGTTAAAACAAAACCCCCGAAGTGGAGGCATCGATAACAACGGCTTTAGCAGAGTCACGGTCACTGAGCTTTTTCAGCTTCCTCAAGAAGATTGTAAGCAAGATGGAGCTTCCAAGATGGGTGTCAAAGTAGTCTGAGGTTGACTGGGCGCTGAGAGGACTTTTGAATCTTTTACTAAAATTTCCCCCCAAGCAATTTCTTCAAAAACTACCTCAAACATGAGCACGCTTTCCCTGGTGAATAACATGGCACCCTGTTGCATAATTATTATGATGTTTGGTCACAAGGACACCTAAGTAGTTCAAAGACGGTTGCTGCGTGGCCTAGATGCACTCAAGGCTTTATGAAACCCTGGGTGCATTCGTAAATGCAACACAGACAGATGCCTAATGGAGGCGCAGAGATGAAAAACCGGCAGGCAGGCACCGCCGAGACGTTCGCACGTGTTTGATTGTTTCAGACTCTCCGAATGCCAGTCTCTGGAGAAATTACTTTAACAGAGCATGAATAAGTGGAAGCTCGGTCTCCGACGGGAATTAGTGCTGGAAAATAAACAGCAATTTCGGAGAAGTAAAAATTAGAGCAGACTATTACATTTCCTTTTTCTCTCCCGCTTTAGTTTTGATATTTTCATTGTGACTATTCTTTTCGCAGAAGGCCTTTTGTTTACATTCAGGAAACCCAGCTAGCCAGCGATCCTAGCGGCAAAGGGCTCGCTTTGAAAGAGATCTGGGTAGGGACTGATCACCGTTCTCAGTCCATTTCCTAAGGCGCCGGCTATCTCAAGAGAAGGATTTTCACACAAATTGAATGTTTTAAAAACTTAAGACCCGGCTATATTTGGATCTGTGAGCTGTGAACAGCAGGGAATCTATAAGACTCTAAACCCTGCGACTCTCTCATTACCTCTGTTTTACTGAGCTGCATGGGTTCCATCTTTAGAAGCGGCCCAATTTCCTCCGGTAGAAGAACCTTTCCCTCCACCGCAGGTAGCCTGTGGCGTTTTTTTTTTTTTTTTTACTTCAGCCGCAGATGTCACCCAGAAGTGACGCGTACCACTCTCAGCTCATTTTGCATCGCACACAAAAGGGTCTCTCCCAGGAAACCTTCTCCGCACTTCTGAAACATAATGGCACTTCAAAGAAATGTGTTCTTTTAAAGATAATAACTGCAGTTAACTCCCCCACTAGTCTTGCTGAAGTATTTGACAATTAATTCAGCTTACCACTGGCTTGAAATGATTTGACAACCATTTAACTCTTTTGGGAAATGCTTTTCTTCAGCCTGCTAGCTAAGCGGTTCCCCTCCTTTCCAGGGTATTTTGTACACTGCAATTTCGTTTTCTATTGCCTTCTCTGCACTTGTCCCCTGAAATACCAACTCATTTTCAGCTGCGTGTGTTTGTAGATATTAAAAACACATGGAATTATCGTGCTCTGGGCTGGGTTACATACCCCAAAATTCGTGTGTTGAGGACTGAGCCTCTAGTATTTTAGAACATGACTGGGTTTGGTGCCTGGGCCTTTAAAGAGGAGAGTATGACGAGATGGGGTGTGAATGTGAGTCCTAATTCAACACATTGACTCGCCAAAAGAAGAGATTTAGATTCACAAAGAAGCGGTCATGTGGGGACACAGAAGGTTGCCAGTCAGTTAAGACGCCCACCTATAATATTCTGAGAGGATCATGCAAAGGTCTCTTTCTGTCCTATCCCTTTCAAGGATTCTTCCAGCCTTGGGGTCCTCGTCCCACTCCAGCTCCCTCGTCTCTTGCACACCTCCAGTGTTATTGTGTGCTAGGATTCCACCCTGATGCCTGCAACAACGTCCTGACGCAAAGGAACTGCACAGAAGGCCACTGCTAGCAGAATAAAGCTACCATGTGCTAAGAATGGACCTAAGGAATCTCTGTTCAGGCAGCAGGTCTGCCTTTTCGTTCATCACTCACACCTCCTTCGTTGCTAACCCCAGGTCCCCCTATGCTCAGCCCATCACCCGACTGTTCCCTTTGTCCTCCTAATCCATGTGGCCTTACCTGCCACCTTGTCGGTTGCCTGCCTATACTTGTTATAATTACCAGCAGAAAGCAGTCATTTCAAGAACACTGGAGGGGTAAAATATACTATGGGCTAATCACCCACCTGTCACCAGCCTGACATTTTTATTTAATGAGATTAAATTACACTTAACCATTGGTCTGCCTTTTAAGAGAGCGAACAAGACACCCAGGGCAGTTTAGAAGCCCCACATAGAGAATGCAATCTTTTGTGTTCTGCATCCTAGCAAGGTTCCACACTTAGTCACAGCTGCATGGTGCTGATTTAAATTAGCTATTTGCATAGCTCCTCCCCTCCCAGCCTTTCATCTGAGTCAGGTAGAATCAGAGTCCTGGTAGTCAGTCTGCTTTGTAACCCTAAGCCTAGGAAGCTCCCCTAGATCCTGCCTCAGCAACTACCAGCTATTGTCAGGTCCTCCAGCCTCACCCTGTGCCTTGTGTCCCTATTAGTCCCACGTTTTGGAATTCATTTCCCCCCAGTTAACTGTTTGAAACTTGCTCAAATGTTTTTATCTCCTTTCATCCTTATATTAGGCAGCAGTCTCTACAGGAACAGAACTGGTAGAATAACTATAAATATACATATATATATATAATCTGTATTATATATATTCAATGGCTGTTCAAGTCAATGGAAAGTTCAAGAATCCAGTAGTTGTGCAGTCCATGAGGTTAGATGTCTCTGCTGGTCTTCCATATATGCCAGAATCCCAGAGAGGTAGACTACAATGCCATTGAAGGAATGAACTCACCAGAGAACACAAGAGTCAGCAGGCAAAGAGCGAAAGTCTCCTTCCTCCATGTGTCCCACGCTATCATCTCGCCAGCAAGAACCACGCGGGACATTAGGATCCTCCTGCAGAAAAGCTTTAATGCATCTTGAGAGAGAGAGCATCAGCTAACATGGCCGGGGACCCCTAAATGAGGGAACCCCTCCTTTATATAGGAAACAGTCCTTGCTTCAGACGTGTCACCCTTGGATTGACCCGCTGCCCATTAGCCCAGGTGAAGCCTCGGGAGTAGGCGGGAACAGCAGTGGAAAGTTACCGAGCACATGTGCGTTCACCTGGAGGTGAAACCGGATGCCAGCGCCATCTTGTAATGGAGAATGTGGATGCGGCCCTTCACATCCATGTCCTTCATAAAGGCTGCCTTTAGATGGTGTGTAGCCCAGATTAAAGGTGGGTTTTCCCATCTCCAAAGATCTGTATTGAAGGTAAATCTTCCCATTTCAGATAATTTAATTAAGAAGAAAATCCTTCACAGGTGTACCTAGCTGCTTGGGTTTTAGTTGATTCCAGATGTCATCGAGTTGACAACCAAGAACAGCTGTCCCAAACCTCTTTCAGGCCTACCAATACTAATGCTACTACTACTAATAAACATTGGTGACAAAAATAGTAACAACAAGATCTGGGACAAAAACTTTGTCTTTCTGGTTATTGTTTTAATCAAGGTGTCTCTGTTCAGAACTAGGAAGAGGGAGAAATCACACCGTAAGTATAGTAGTTGACAGACACCCCCGTCTCCACTCCGCATTTTCTGCCATGGAGAGATGGAATGCTGAAAAATATTCAAAGATGATTAATCATTTCTTTTGGTTGCTCCTTTTCAAAGCAAGTTCCAACCAAATTTTTGGGAAAGTTTTACTTGAATATTTTTTCTTTTCTTTTCTTTTTCGCATGGATTAGCATAAAAAAGGAGATGAATTAGACAAATGAATTGTCCAGGACTCTTTCTTTTCCTGGATTTAGATTAACATTGGAATTCTTAGTTTTCTGGTTTCTTCCTGTCATGGATCAGCCAAGGCTTCACTGGAACTTCATGTGCCTGCCTTTAAGGGACACACATTTTCTGCTTCAGTTGAGGCATGGGTCATTGTATTTCAAGTTGTCTTTCTTAAAACATGCATGTGTTCGTGTGTGTGGTGTGTGTGTGTATGTATGCATACATGTGAGTACATGTTTGAATAGGCTTTCAGAGGTCAGAGGACAACCTCAGGTGTCACCCTCAGCACCACCACCTACATTCTTTGAGGCAGTCTCTCCTGGGCCTAGACCTCATTAGCTAGGACAGACTGGCTGGCTATCAAGTCAAAGGATTCACCTGTCTGCTTTCCTGGTGCTGGAATTACAAGCAAGTACCACCATGCAGGCATTGATCATGTGTTCTGGTTATCAAATCTGAGACCTCACACTTGTAAGGCACCGGTTGTACTGATGGAACCATTGCCTAAGATTGTATTATTCTAAGTCCTATGGGGCTGACTTCATATCCTCTGAGTTCTTTAAAGACAAGATCATTCATAGTTATTATAAGCTTAATTATAGCAGGTTTTCTCAGACTGCCCCCAAATCAAGACACAGAGACTTATTAATTATGAATATTTGGTCTTATCTTATGCTTGTCCCACTAGCTCTTAGAACTTAGTTTAACCTCTTCATCTACATTTTGTCTCAGGGATTTTTAACTCTTTTTTTTTTCATTCTGTATGTCCTACTTTTCCTACTTCTTCTGTCTGTCTGTCTGTCTGTCTGCTTCCTGACTGGTGTGCCCCAGGCATCTCCCTTTCTTTCTCCCTCATTCTCTCCCTTTCTAACCTAGAATCTTCCTCCTACTTATTCCCTCTTCCCACCAGCCCACCTATCCCTCCTCTGCCTCGCAATTGACTGTTCAGGTTTTTATTAGACCAATCAGGGAGGCAAAGTGAAACAGTAACACATCTCTACCTAGTTAAACAAATGCAGCATAAACAAATGCAACACACCTTTACCTAGTTCAAATAATATTACACAGCAAAAACAAATGTAACACATCTTCACCTAGTTAAATATTTCACAACACTTAATCATGATGAAAAGGCAAATTGCTCAACTGAAAGATTTCCTCACCCCCCCCCACCTATAGCACAATTAATAAAAACACGGAGACAGAAATTGGAGCTCAACCTCAAAACCAGAAAAGCAAAGCAGCTCAAGGCTGAGCGAGCATAAACTACGCAGCTAAGCCCCTCTCTCTTCCATTTCTTATTCCTTCTAGTGCTGGGATTAAAGGTGTGACTCCCTAGTGTTGACAGAGGTTTTCTGTCTACCAGGTCCCACAGACATTTAGCCCCAAAGGAATCACAGAGGTCTACACTAATTATAAACTGATTGGCCTAGTAGCTCAGACTTCTTATTAACTCTTATAACTCATATTAGCCCATTATTTTTGTCTATGTTAGCCACGTGGCTTAGTACCTTATTCAGCGAGGCAGTCACATCTTGTTTCTTCTGTGGCTGGGTCACGACTGCAGATTCCTCTTCCCAGAATTCTCCTGTTCTCGTTGCCCTACCTCTACTTCCTGCCTGGCTACGAGCCAATCAATGTTTTATTAAAATACAATTGACAGGGTAGAAGCCATTGTCCAATAGCACCCTAGGACTGGGATTAAAGGTGTAAACCACCACCACCTGGATCTGTTTCTGCATTGATCTTGTGTAGTTCAAGGTGGACTTGACTTCACAGAGATCCACCTGACTCTGTCTCCCAAACCCTGGGATTAAAGGTGTGTGCCACCATTGCCTGACCTCAAGTGGCTTTAGCTTTGCCTCTGGTCTTCAGGCTCCAACTAGTTGCTGGTTTTTATTTGAAAATGAAGGTTGTGCCCTGGGCTCCTGCCAGCGAAGCCCATCTGCCTGTCCAGTTCTCTTTGTCCTTCTATACCACTGTGTGACAGCAAAAGGAGCTTTGTGGAGAGGCCTCGCATAGGAAACTTGGCATGGTTCTGTGGTCTCTCAAAGCCCTATGCATTGTTCAGAGACTGATGCTAAAGCGGATGCCATATTGCACCCACCAGCTCCCCTCTCTTTACCTTTCTTTCCTCACAAAAACTTTTCTCTTAGCCCGCCCCCCATAGAAAAACATGCTGTCCGGTCAAGCAGTCATTCATTTTAAAGCTATTGTTGAAGGTATTGTCTCTGCCAGAAGTTTCAAAAGTCTGTTTTGAAACTAAAAGGTTGAGAATTCTTTCTTTTGTGCTCCGTTCCATTCTGGTGCATTACTCCGAGGCCTAACATGCACTGGTTAGGCCCACCCACGGAGGAAGGGCCTTTGAAAGAAGAGTGCCTTCCCCAGCAGGGAAGACGGTAGAGGGGGAGACCTCGTAGTAAACACTCCGGAAGAAGAGTTTTTCTCACGTAACAGAACAGCTTCGAGATTAAAGAGAAGGGCTAGGGATGTAGCTAAGTGGTAGAATGCTTGCTTCGTATTCATGACGCACCAGATTAAACTGCGCATGGTGGCGCGTGCTTATGATTGAAGCACTCGGGTGGGCAGTGGGTGCAGGACGATCTGAAGCTCAAGTACACCCTCAGCTGCATACGAGGTCAAGGCCTACCTGGACTAGAGACCGCCTCAGAAAGAAACAAGACAACAAAACCTGTTTTACTACGTCTTGGGTTACTATGTTGAAAGACCTACCCTTTCTCTTTTTTTGAATTTTAAAACCTTTAACTCTTATTTTAAGTTTTGCCTGCCTGTATATGTGTATACCATTTGTGTGCCTGGGGTCCTCGGAAGGGAGAAGAGCACTGTAGTTACAGATGGCTGTGAGCTGCAGCCAGTGATCTCAAGCGCTGAACCATCTTCCCAGCACTCCCCCCTTTTCTTTCTTCCCAAGTGTAATCCTTCTGTTTCTGCTGCTCAAAGAAACATCCTGGCTGTCTTTCCAAGTCAGAACCCCTGTCTCTTCATGTCCACAGTTGCACTGATGCCATTGTCTTCAGATTCAGTGTTAATTCATTCACCTTGATGGGCCTTTAGGAAGGGTCAAGTTTCTGCTTTGGAATCAGTAGCCACACCGAACATTCTCCAAAACATGTATTTCCTTATTGAGGAGATTGTCCACAAGATGCTTTGCTAGAAGCAGCCCTGCTGTGTCACGGGATGCATCAGTTCTATATTCTGGTTCTTCTGGTCACAGAATTGCTTTGGAATAATTCTTCTGTACACTGTGAGGATGTGTTGCTCTCATTGTTAATTAAAAAGCTGACTGACAATAGCTAGGCAGGAATTGTGGGGATGAGAGAATGCTGGGAAGGAGAAGGGTGGAGTCAGGGAGTCAGGAGGAGTTGCCAGTCAGACGCAGCATAAGAAGCAACATGGGACATTCACAGGTGAGGTAAACAAGTTTCAGGACAGCACATAGAGTAATAGAAATGGGTTCATTCAAGTTATAAGAGCTAGTTAACAATAAGCCTAAGCTATCAGCCAATCATTTATAATAAAGAATAAGATTCTGTGGTTATTTGGGGAGTGCCTTGGTGTGGGAAAATTGTCTGTATTCTGTCAATCATATTTTAATAAAACACTGATTGGCCAGGCAGGAATTATAGGCGGGTCAACCAGACAGGAAGTAAAGGCGGGGCAATGAAAATAGGAGAAGACTAGAGAGGAGGAAGATCCCTCGGCCACTCCTGCGCAGACCATGGAAGAGGCAGCATGTAACTTGCCCAGCTGAAAAAGGTACCAAGCCATATGGCTAATGTAGATAAGGATAATGGGGTAACATAAGTTATAAGAGCTAATAAGTAGCCTGACCTAATGGGCCAATCAGTTTATAATCTTATGGAGTCCTGTGTGTGATTTTCTTTGGAACTTGCCGGTTGTGGGGTACCGGGTGGGACAGATACCCCAACAAGCCGGCCCCTCGTGTTACAGTGCCTGGCAGAACAGAGCAAATGAGCGGTCTGGATGGAAGAGTCTGCCTACACACAATCCCTACAAATATGCATCAAATTCTACCTCAGCCAGAAACTGATAAAGACAGCAGTGTCCACCAATTTCCACCAACATGAGCATTTATCAAAG